AAACACAGGAAAGTGCAATGAAACAAAATGTAGGTCTATTTATTTATTTTAAAATAGAAATACTAAAGAGAAAATCTTAACTACAAGTACAGCTTGTATCGATCTGAAGGTCAGTGACACACGGATTTCAAAGCTGAAGAACACCAGATTTCTAAGCATATACCATACTATTTCTTCTCCTTTATTACTCACTGAGTTTTAATCCCATTAAAACTAGCAGACTTCAGCTTGTATCGATCTGAAGGTCAGTGACACACGGATTTCAAAGCTGAAGAACACCAGATTTCTAAGCATATACCATACTATTTCTTCTCCTTTATTACTCACTGAGTTTTAATCCAATTAAAACTAGTAGACTTTAAATCAGATGTAATGCTAAGTCTAGTAGTCATAAGAAAATGTATTAATACAGTGAAAGTAAAGTGTTTTGATTTTTACAAGAAAAGAAAAGTGAAACTTGGTTGCTCAAATACCACAGCTGGGAAATCCACATTCTTACAACTTGCTATCCATGCAATTTTAACGTTTTTTTTTACCATAACACCCATGCACTTAGCTTCTTTGAATCTTTTCCATCAAAAAGAAAAGTGAAAAATAGTTGCAGATTTGCTGGCAAGAGATGATCTGATTAGAACTTCACTTCCTGTACAGATTAAGCAATAAACACTACACACTAATTACCTGTTCTATGCACATACTTCAGAGAGACTGGCTTTAATGTGAAGTTTTAAAATCAAAAGCAGCAGCTTGCTGAAATCTAGAATTAAAACTCCAACTGCTCATGATAATAGAGAGATAATTCCTTTCTTAACCAGAATGGATAAGATAATTTATATGCTTTCAAATGACATTTTCCAAGCAGATGAAAATGCAAGCCTTGTCAATAGAGATACCAGTTTTCAGCTTGTCAGTTTTTCAAGGCTACCCAGAGACATAAAGCTTTGACCAGAAAATTTCAGTTACCCCTATTAGGTCACCTAAATATGTAGTCATAGCTAAAAAATTCCTCAGTAAATTACTTCACCAGTCAACAGGCAGTGTTTCCAATACAAGACTCAAAATATTCCTGAAGACCCAACTTTTTGCCACTGAATTCCATTTGCAGGCATACGTGTACTGAGGTCACGATATATCTGAAAATTCTTTTAATTAAAAGTTTCCATGAGATAATGTTGAGTTTTAACTATCAAGCAGTGTCTACAGGCAGGGAAAGCATGGCAAAATCTGAAGGGATTAAACATGCAGAAGTTACCACACACAACTGACAGGTATTTTGGCTGGTGATGGCAATTAAAGATGACTGGTAAACGAAAACTAGGGGGACTACGGTCTTTAGAGACACCCTATCACAACTTACTGCCACACTTTCGATGAAAATAGAGACACTAAAATTAAAACCCCACATAGGTTATAAAAAAAGACCGTAATAACAGCTAAGCAGTCTTCACCAGATTTTTTCCTTTGAACTGAGCAAAATTTAGTTTCGGACATTGTGAGCGTGGTTCTGTAAATACCAAGGAAATGCTGTGGAGAGGAACTAGGGGAACACCAGGCACTTTTACATTAGCTTTATTCTGCCAAGTAACAGGACCCAGAGACAGACATCCTTGGCAAGTTCAGTCACATGAAAACAAACCTACTGAAAACCAGACACACCAAGAAGAATATTGATTTTTCAGACAGCAGAAAGTTGAAAAAAATTAAGTCTCTAGATTTCAGTAAATCCTCATGGAAATTTTACATTTTGGTACCTTTGACAAAAGCTTTGTTGTACATGCTTTCAAATACACCCAAGATGATCTAATTTTTCACACTTCTCACCTGGTTGAGTTCTGCAAGCTCTGACAGGACGATCTGGAGGAGGTTCAACCTCCACTTTTTTCCCAGGATCAAAGTCATCAGTTTCTCCTTCAGTGTCACACTGTTCCTTCTCCCTTTTCCTCTTTTTCTCTTCCTAGCACAGCAGGAAGACGACAGATTTTAGAAGAACGTACTTGGAATGTGCAATCCCACATACTAAAAGGTTACAGACCATGATTTTTTGTTTGGAATAATCTATATCTGAGTTGTAATATGGTTTAAACAATAGTGCATACACTCTCACTATCACCATTTCAATTTTCTTCTCTGATTAAAACTAATACTGCTCACTTTTTGCTTCCTTGCATTTAATAGACTACTGTTCAATCATTAGTTACTGTACTTTTACTGAAAAGAATGTTAAACTCTGAAGCTATTTGTATGTAAAATCGCATGATAATAAGCTACACCAGAGAGCAAAAGAAGTTAAGTTACTATTCAGTAAAGAACAGTCTGTAGCTCTGCTTTGATCAATGTGTTTTTGCTGTTTGGTGCACACTAAATAAGAATCAATAAAGTGCACGATAATTTAGGAAGCCTACAAAAGAACCACAAGAAATGCTCTGTAACAGTGCTGGTAATTAATGATCTCTTCCTGAGCTTCAAAGCAAAGGCATGCCTGAGTCATTCCTATAATCTTACAGTCATTATTCATGTTCACACAGAAAAGCCTATTTTCATTAACTTTGTTTAGACTACAGTTTTGTTACTTATCTAACCGCTAACTTCTCTTGCGTGCACCAATAATGAAGTTCTGTGAAACCACCACCACCACACAATTTAGCAAAGGCAAAACAAATAATTTGAATTTATGCTACAAGGTCTCATCTTAACGACATTTAAATCCCCAGCCACACTCTTAACTGAAACATTTGAAAATGTTTGTACAAAGAAAGTTTTCAACTGTCTGTCCTGTATTCAAAAGCTTCTATATGGTCCTACAAGATATATCACTTTCAAGTAATACAATCTTAACAAATAAATCAAATCAAAATGACCAATCTTAGCCATACACACATACAAAGCAGTACTGAAAAACCGTCACTTGAGAATAGTAAAACTACATGACAGAAGAGAATTAAAAAAGCAGAGAGGTCAGAGAATCATTAGTATGCAAAAGAAGTATTAGCAAAATGAAACTGTACAGGGAACTCTACCATCAACACCTTCCTGCTGATAGTAATACAATCTTAGCAAATAAATCAAATCAAAATGACCAATCTTAGCCATACACACATACAAAGCAGTACTGAAAAACCGTCACTTGAGAATAGTAAAAGTACATGACAGAGAGAATTAAAAAAGCAGAGAGGTCAGAGAATCATTAGTACGCAAAAGAAGTATTAGCAAAATGAAATTGTACAGGGAACTGTACCATCAATGCCTTCCTGCTGATTTCAATCTTACTTTTAAAGGTTCAGCACAGACAACTAAGGTGACCACATATTTGCTACTAACAAAGGCACAAAATCTTGCACGCAGGTTTTCCTAAACAAGAGCCAACGAAACCAGGGTCCCACCATACTCAACAGCTCAGATTTCAGAAAGCTGTTTTCAGTAAACTGATCAGATTTCAGAAAGTTGTTTTGAGTAAACACACTGATTTCAATGTCCCGTAACGTGGCGTATCTCAGGAACAGAAATGCAATCCAGATTAATCTGAAAAGCTGAGAATACCCTCCTCAATGGGTAGCAAAACAGGTTTCTGACCTGCCTGAAATCCAACTTAAAAACAGAAGTATTCATACCTACAGACAAAGCAAATGGATAAGAAAAGCAAGCCGTTACAACAAACGAGTTTTCGCTTTGTTCAAAAAATCATCACTGGGATATCACTTTTAAATGGCAGAAATAAACTGACTGACACACACATGGGTTTCCATTTCTGAAGTGCTGTCTCTGAACTATAAGCTTCTTGCAACAGATTTTTTTAAGAAAAAAACGGTTCTGTTAGTCTGTGCCAGATTTTAGATCTGTTAAGCAAGTATGAAAAGACCCATATGTCTGAATTCTAAAAGTCATAGCTCACCTTTCTCTTTCTTCTTTCCTCATCATCTAGATGCTTTTCTTTTTCCTTCTCAGACTTCTTTTTCTTTTTTTTCTTCTTTTCTTTATGTCGTTCTCGCTCATGATCTGATCTGTCGTCATAGTAACTGGAATCATGCCCCGAGCCAGAAAGTTCAGTCACTTCACTTCCTCCAACTTTAAGCACCAGCTTTAAAGGTTTTTCCAGGGGCTTATCCACGTAATCTAAGTTTAAGTAGTAAAAGTTTTCATAAATGAAGGTGATAATGTACAGTAATTACTGATGTTTCTTCTCGAAATACTGTTTTCAAGATTTAGCTGCAGTTTGAGAAGACATGCGATGTATTTGGAGGGAATAATAACGGCATGCTAACAAATCCAAGATAAGAAAGTTGTTCAGCACGTTTTACATCACGATTTTCCCACAAACATAAGGAACTAACTCCTCGGCTTTCCCTGGAAACATCCTGAGACTCAGGTGAAACCAAGCGCCGCTGAGGCACTGCAGGAACCGGAATCCATCGGTAACAGCCGTTCGAGACACGGAGATGCTTGGGGGGGGGCGGGGGTGTCTCAAAACACCCCACAACCACCTGGCCCCACAAACACCGGCCCCCACATCCACCTGGCCCCCAACAACCACCTGGCCCCTCCCGGGCCGCCTCCCGCTTCCCCTCTCCCGCCTCCCTCCGTCCCCGCCCCTCCCGGACAACGGGATGACGGCGCCGGCGGCCTGGCCCCGGGGCGCTCGCCCACCTCCGGCAGCTCACACGTTCAGTCTAGGGCATCCCCCTTCCAGGCGCTCCGCTGCCACCCAGCCCACCGAGGGCCGCCGCCGGCAGCCATAGGGGGGTGAGGGCAGACGCGTCCCCGCGTACTAAGATGGCTCCCCCCCACCGCGCGCCGCCTCTGTACCACCCCCGCTTCTTACCGCTGTAGGCGGTGGCGGAGGTTGAGCGCCATTCCGCCTTTTCTGCCTTGTGTTTCTTGTGCTTCTTCCCCATGGCAGAGCCGGGCCCCACCAGCCGCCGTTTCCCCTCAGCTCTACCCCCCCACCCCCCCGCGCCGGAAGCGCTCGGGGCGGAAGGACTCCTTCCGCTTGCCGCGGAGGAAGATCCAGGTCAAGGCGCAGCGGGGGCCGGGCCTACGCTGGCTAGCCCGCCTTTTTCGAAAAGGCAGCGGCGGTGTCCGGCTGCTTCAGGTTCTCTTCGCGCTCACAAACGGGTTCTTTTCCTCTCCCCCGCGTGGTGGAGAGGCGCAGCCCTTTAGGGGGCTAGAGGGGCATGGAGGAGCCGCTCCCCGGGGCGGGTGGTGGCGGTGGGACCTTCTCGGGGGCTGCGTCTGGGCTGAGGTGGCCCGGCCCCCGCTGTGGAGGCTCGCGGCGGGCGGGGGGGGTGTGTATGTGAGGAGAGGGCTCGCGACTGCGCTCGCGACGCGCCTCATGGCTGGCGCCGCCATCTCCTGAGGGAGGGAAGGAGGGGAGGGAGGGAAATGCCGGTCCCCGCCGTGGGCAAGGGGGCACTTAAACGCGGGCAGGGTGACCGGGAAAGGACTGGTTGTGCCGCTGCTGTTTAACCGTGGCTGAGAGCTTCCTTCTCCTCGGTGTCCCTTTCCTCAGGAGCGAGCAGGATGGACGAAGCCGCCGGGGATTTGAAGCAAGCGCTGCCGAATGTGTGTGACAACGTGCAGATACACGTGGAGGTCCATCAGAAATCGAGCAGGTCTCTCCGATCAGGGCTTTTACTCGCCGCATCTTGTCCCCCCGCTGCCTTTCAGCCTCGTGCTGTGCACCCTCAAAAGCGCCTGGCGCTCTGCTCTGCCTTCTGGGGTGCTCTGCTGTGAATTTCCACGCAGGTGTCTCATCCCAGGGCTGAACAAACCCATTTCTCAGCATCTATTCATGTGTCGTCTCGTAATCAAGTTGGTGGCCATATTCTGGATTTGCTCTGGTGTATCATTGCCTCTTGTTACAGCAGAGCCCGAAACTGTACGCAGCGCTCCAGATGTGGTCTCACAGACAGCTGGTAGATGGAAAAAATAACTTTCCTGAACGTTTGCGCTCTTGCGAGCACAACCTAGATAAGATTGGCCTTACTTGTAGCGAGGGCACGCTACAGACTCATCACCAGCTTGCCCACCAGTACCTTGGTGGGTAAGTACCCTGGGTCTTTTTCTGCCAAGCTGGTTTTCATCCACTTGGCCTCTGGTCTGTCCTGTTGTCTGGGCAGCAGATGGAGAAACAGGATTTCACGTTTACTTTTGCCAAACCTCAGGAGGTCCCTCTGAATGGCGGCCCTGCACTTTAGTGTACCGATAGCTCTCCCTGCTTTGGTGTTATCCATAAACTTGCTGCAGTTGGTTGCCATCCCATTGTCCAGGGTGTAAATGAAGATGTAAAGACAGTGTTGGTCCCAATATTGACAGAGCCACCCTTCCTTTCCCCACGCCGCTAACTGGTAGCTCTGGTTAGTTGTTGCACCACTAATCCCAACCTTTTGAGCTGCGTAGTCCAGTCTTCTCGTCCGTTTATCCAGTCCTCATCTTGCCAATCTGGCTATCTAGAAACTGTGGGAGAGTGTGTCCAAGTTGTAAAATATCCATTGCTCTGTTTTTGTCAGACTTAAAAGTCAAGGAGCTGGGAATTCGCATTGGGAATGCATCACTGAAATGGCAAAATTAAGTGAAAAGCTTTCTGAAATCTTAAAATTGTAATCCTTTTTCCTGCAGTCTGAGTCTCTTCTACTGGAATTCTCCTTATAACATGTCCCCATCCTGAGATATCAGCTGTCCTCAGGCATGAAGACACTACAGAGCTTCTAAGCTAAGCGCACTGAATTCAATCTAGTAGCTTGGCTGTGATATTTTTTTTTTGCTTTAGCTAGTGAAACACAGTCGTATTGCATAACTGACTTCCCCTTTTGAATTCTTCTAGCTGTGTCATTCCAGGTCCCCAGTATGACTGTAAACAGAGCAAATAGCATGGCTTGTGTCTTAACACACAAAACCAAGTATCAAACTTGATGCTTTTGCAAACAAACTGAATTTGATAGGTTTTTTTCCTGTAGAATGTTACGGGGGGAGGGCAGAGGGTTGAGTGGCTTTTGGTTTTTCTTTTGTGGGGGTTGGCTTTTTTGGGGTAGTTTCTTTGGAGGTTTTTGAGGGGGGAGAGTGGGCTGTGTGTGTGTGGGATGGGAGCTGTTTTCCATGTAGGCTTAGTGTATGAAATACTTCCTTATAAATGCTATAAACAATGCTGTTTCTTTGTCATTAGCACGGCCAAGAAAGAAGATATCAGGATGGGTGTCTTAAAGCTGTTGAACAGACATAACATTGTGTTTGGCGATTACAAGTGGACGGAGTTTGATGACGGTTTCCTTAACAGCAACGTGCAGTCCGTGTCCATTGTGGATACAGAGCTGAAACTGAAAGACAGACAGGTATTCACAATCAAGGATGTGCAGTTGCGTTCATTTGCATGTGAACTAGTTGTAGGTAGACTAGTGATAGTCTAGTGTCCTCTTCTGAGGAGGAACTTCTTTCCTGTGAGGGTGGCAGAGCCCTGGAAGAGGCTGCCCAGGGAGGTGGTGGAGTCTCCTTCTCTGGAGACATTCAAACCCCACCTGAACATGTCCCTGTGCAACCTGCTCTGGATGGACCTGCTTTGGCAGGGGGTTGGACTAGATGATCTCCAGAGGTCCCTTCCAACTCCATATCATTCTGTGATAGCCTAAGCAGTACAAGGTCTGTAAGATAGTGTAACATCTTTTATTAGGCTGACTGGTATAACCAGGAAAAGGTGGGTAAATTTTTGGGCCTCCACCCCCTTACCAAAGTCTGAAATGGAAGTAGTAGGCTTCAAACCTGAATGCCAGCTGAGAACTGGCATTCTTGTAGCTTTCTTATGTTATAATTAGATTTGAATGAGAAATGCTATGTATTAAAAGTCTTTTTATGTCCATTCTAGCCTATTGACTTGAGCAAAAGCAATCTTTCTCTTCATATTTTTCATCTGAATGAAGAGGGACCAAGCTCTGAAAACCTGGAAGAAGAGAATGAGGATATCATTGCAGCAAACCACTGGGTGCTACCAGCAGGTACCCCTGTGATGTTTCTTGGAGGTCTAGAGCAATTTCAGTGAAAGAAAACATTGAAAAGGCTAAAAGTGTTTATAGGGTTATTGGTTAAAGCTATTATTTGTATATATTGTTTAACTTAGTCCTTTGCTGATGGAACCAATACATTTGGGCTTTCTTCTCTATGGTTTTGACTGAACTGCTATGGGTGATTCCACAACACGGCATTTACTTTTGTAGTGCTTGTGGATGGGTGGAAGTAACTGGTCTTGTGGAATAAAATATATAGTCATAATCAGAAGCATGCAAATTTTTAACCCTACAAGCTGCATTCCAGATGTTTTTTTTGAGATCCACAAGAAACTAATCAGTTTATACGTTCATTTTCCAGAGCCCACTGCTGGCTTCTAGGTTCCAAGACAGTTCTGCTCTTATATTTGGAACAAACTAAAGAGCTGTAGAGTCCCCAAAGTGTATTCTAAAAAGAACAATAAGGCTTTGCTGTAAAAAAGAGTGTGGCCTGCTTGTTACTATCTTTGGGAAACTGGATTCTGCACCTGGAAGGAGAAGTACAGGTGTGAGTTTGAGCTCAAAGAGACAGTGATTCTAAGATGTTTCTTGCTCTTTCCATGTTGTGAAAAGCCCAGCGATCCGTTGCATTTCTTTTCAGGAAGAATTCATTCTGATACTTTGATATTATTCCCGTGTTAGTGTGATTTATAATTGTTGTCATTTTTGGTTTCTTTGCTGAAAGCTAGAAACTAACTGCTAGAAATGTTTGATACCCAAATCACAATTCTAATTTCTTATGCATTGTTCAGCTACATGTTTTTTTTTTTCTTTCTCTACATGTTGATGTTAAAAATTTAAAAAAAAAAAAAAATTATAATATTAGGCTTAGAACTCTCCTCCCACCCCAGTTTCTCATAGCTCTTTATCTTGTGAAAATGTAGGTCCATCCTCTAGAGAAATGGAAAAGAATGATATTTTTCCTTTCATTTTAAGACATTAAAAAGATTAATTCTCCTCACAGTCATTGGAGGAAACAAAAGTTGTGAAACTGCTAAATTTGTCTGTTTGACATTAGTGTTTGCATTTTGAGAAAAATAATACACGTTTCTTTCCATATTTAGTGTTTGCATTTTGAGAAAAATAATACATATGTTTCTTTCCATAAATTTTAATTGCTCTCCTAAATTTGTTCTTAATCATTAATTTCAATTGAGAATAATTTGAAAACTGCTTTGTGCTGTAATAGTAGATTTCAAGTTCCTAGATTGATTTATTCTAAACAGGTGTATAATATATTGCTTTTGCAGCTGAATTCCATGGCCTTTGGGAAAGTCTTATATATGACAGTGAAGTGTAATCGCATGTAAGTTGAAAATAAATAACAATTAAAATTGCTTGAAGAGAAGGAAGAGTTGAAATGTAGCCTGTTTGAACTTTGCTGCAATGTTTGATACCCAAATCACAATTCTAATTTTTTATGCATTGTTCAGCTACATGTTTTGGTTTTTTTCTTCCTCTACATGGTAAATGTTTGATACCCAAATCACAATTCTAATTTCTTATGCATTGTTCAGCTACATGTTTTTTTTTTTCTTTCTCTACATGTTGATGTTAAAAATTTAAAAAAAAAAAAAAATTATAATATTAGGCTTAGAACTCTCCTCCCACCCCAGTTTTTCATAGCTCTTTATCTTGTGAAAATGTAGGTCCATCCTCTAGAGAAATGGAAAAGAATGATATTTTTCCTTTCATTTTAAGACATTAAAAAGATTAATTCTCCTCACAGTCATTGGAGGAAACAAAAGTTGTGAAACTGCTAAATTTGTCTGTTTGAAATTAGTGTTTGCATTTTGAGAAAAATAATACATATGTTTCTTTCCATAAATTTTAATTGCTCTCCTAAATTTGTTCTTAATCATTAATTTCAATTGAGAATAATTTGAAAACTGCTTTGTGCTGTAATAATAGATTTCAAGTTCCTAGATTGATTTATCCTAAACAGGTATATAATATATTGCTTTTGCAGCTGAATTCCATGGCCTTTGGGAAAGTCTTATATATGACAGTGAAGTAAAATCGCATGTAAGTTGAAAATAAACAATTAAAATTGCTTGAAGAGAAGGAAGAGTTGAAATGTAGCCTGTTTGAACTTTGCTGCATCCCATGGAGCAGTTGTTTGGAAATCACCAGCTCAAGAAAGAATTCTGATATCTGCTTATTACAAGTCTATATTTTGAAAGGTAGTTGCATCCCATGGAGCAGTTGTTTGGAAATCACTAACTCAAAGAATTCTGATGTCTGCTTATTACAGTTCTATATTTTGAAAGGTAGTGTAGTCTTAGCCATGTTGCAAAGCTTTATATTCTTGTTAAAATCTCCACATAATTTTGATAGTTCCATACTTCTCTGATATATGCTTAACAAAAGAAGGCAGAGCTGACGTTTTGAGATTAAACATCGTGTCTCTGATATATGTCGATATGTACTACTGTGAAGTCAGCTTTGCAGATAACCTATGTCCTTGTGAAACTGGGTTCAGTGATGCTTAAAAAAAAAAAAAAAAAAAGATAATATTAGGCTTAGAACTCTCCTCCCACCCCAGTTTCTCATAGCTCTTTATCTTGTGAAAATGTAGGTCCATCCTCTAGAGAAATGGAAAAGAATGATATTTTTCCTTTCATTTTAAGACATTAAAAAGATTTGTTTCCTCCAATGATTGTGAGGAGAAATTAAAGTTGTGAAACTGCTAAATTTGTCTGTTTGACATTAGTGTTTGCATTTTGAGAAAAATAATACACGTTTCTTTCCATATATTTTAATTGCTCTCCTAAATTTGTTCTTAATCATTAATTTTAATTGAGAATAATTTGAAAACTGCTTTGTGCTGTAATAGTAGATTTCAAGTTCCTAGATTGATTTATTCTAAACAGGTGTATAATATATTGCTTTTGCAGCTGAATTCCATGGCCTTTGGGAAAGTCTTATATATGACAGTGAAGTAAAATCGCATGTAAGTTGAAAATAAATAACAATTAAAATTGCTTGAAGAGAAGGAAGAGTTGAAATGTAGCCTGTTTGAACTTTGCTGCATCCCATGGAGCAGTTGTTTGGAAATCACCAGCTCAAGAAAGAATTCTGATATCTGCTTATTACAAGTCTATATTTTGAAAGGTAGTTTAGTCTTAGCCATGTTGCAAAGCTTTATATTCTTGTTAAAATCTCCACATAATTTTGATAGTTCCATACTTCTCTGATATATGCTTAACAAAAGAAGGCAGAGCTGACGTTTTGAGATTAAACATCGTGTCTCTGATATATGTCGATATGTACTACTGTGAAGTCAGCTTTGCAGATAACCTATGTCCTTGTGAAACTGGGTTCAGTGATGCTTATCCCACAAATTACAAAAAATTTCTTCGTATGCGTTGGCTTATTTTACAGAAATCAGAAATTTAACAGCTGGAGGTGTTGTTTTGGTAGCAACTTAAAATTTCTCAGAAATTTTTCACTTTTGCTTTAGATATATTCATCAGTCTGCGTGAAGAAAACATTAAGGTTCTGTAGAATTAATAGAATAGAAATTCATTTTAGTAAATTACTGCACGTTGTTTTAAGGCTCATTAATTGCACATTTTTCTAGAAAGGGGGAAGAAAATTGGTGGAAAAAAATAACTTTCGAGAGGCTTAGAAAAAAACATACACGACATTCTTTGAAATAATTTCTCTATTTCTCCATTGAGAAGGTCCCAAAAGATCTGTTGTGTCTCTGGTTTGGGGTCATTTTCTATTTTGAAGATTCTGTGCATTCATCAAAGGTTGCAGTGATAACTGCCAAAGCTTATAGAATTGTAATACTCTAATCTGAAATTTAGCAACTGTCATGTGAGTAAAAACCAAAAGTGATTCAACTCAGTTGCTGTTATGACAGCACTCATTAAGATGTTTATTGTGCTTGTTAAAAAAATATATGCTTCTACCTGAAGTTTACTAGTTAATAATTAATTCATTATCTTGTTTATAATACCATAGATACAGTATTCTCACTTAAGTCTTTATAACCATCTATAGTAAAGCAAAACATTCCAGTGATTGTACTGCTTCACTTATAAGGTAAACATCAATTAACATACCAACATTTGTCTAATTTATGGAACTACTTCCCAAATCATCTGTGAAATGACGAGACTGTTTAATTAGACGTACTGAATACTAAATAACAGCGAGTTGATTACTGTTGTCTGTATGTCTATGTTGGTAGAAAGAAGTGGTATCATGTTTGTAGTTGTATTTGCTGCTATGTCTCTAATTTGTGTGTCTCTTTCTCCTCTTCAATTAGTTACTTGATTATGTGACGACAACATTACTGTTTTCTGACAAAAATGTTGACAGCAACCTGATCTCGTGGAACAGAGTTGTTTTGCTGCATGGTAAAAATTCTGTCTTAAAGCAAGTAGATTCATTGTCCATCTGTTTATACTTTCTTTTTGAGAAAACTTGTATTGCACTTCTGTGTAGTGAAATTTAGATGAAATGTAATGGCAGAATCAAATCAATGTTCACATGTACTACGTTTTGCAGGAATTTAAATTCTAAAATTTATAATGCAGTTACAACAATTCTTTTTTTAAGTTTTCATTCTTAACTGTTACTGTTCTTTTTTTATAAAGTGCAAAAATAATGCAGATACCGAGGGCATTAGGAGCCATATATTAGTTACAGTTCAGTTGTAGTATTAAAAAATTTCTTAGTTATTGCTTTATAAAAACTTTAGACTTTAGAAACTGGGAAGTCAATCTGTGTGTTGTCTTATTAAGACTGTATGTTCTATTGACAAGTATGAAGGCAGTGCTCTTGCTAACTATTTCAGTGAAGCCATAATCTTCAGTCAGCCCTAGCTTTCTGTGGAGGTTATACCATGCAAATGAGATTAGTTAGTAACAACTGAATCTATTTTCTTGCAAAATGCAGCTTGCTATTGATTATTTACCATTTTGTCATCAAGACTGGTATTTAAAAATAAAAAGTCATAGTGGAAATGTTTGTTATGGGTGTTGATTATACTTAAGTTATAACTATTTATCAGTTTAGAAGCTGCAGGATATTGGTTTTTGGAAAACTATTTCAGGCTGTTAACAATATATCTATGATAGATATATTTCATTTTAGTGACAAGCTCATTATTGTGATCACAAAGAGATTAATACTGGGAAAGAGATGCCTGTTGTAGTGCAAAATACCTTTTTGCTATAATGGTGGTACTGGCTTTGAACAGAAGCACTGTCATCTGGTTGATGTCAGTGGTTTGTTTAGCATCCATGCATCAACTTCCATATGTTCATACCCTGTGTAACCGTACTTGTACTTGTCTGTTTGGAGAATGTCTGTGTGGCTCTTCTGTAGAGCTTCAAGGCAGATCCAAAAGGTTTGTCCTGGAGCTTAACTCCTGAGATTTTTGGAGAAGTGGGCAGCTGATCAAACTGGGCATGATGGGTTTCTGTTTTGCACGTTAGAAAGGTGTGTTTCAGGAAGACTTAAGTTTAAGCAGCACTGTTTTTTTGAGAATGCTAAGTCCTGCTAGGATGATACACTTTGAAACTGTGGCTGTGGAGTACTTTAACTTTATGGTGTCTGCATACAAACTATTCCAATAACTATAGTAATAATGGAACTTTGGATTTATATAATTTTCAGCTGTAGGACTGTAGTGGAGTAAGCAACCTTCTCAAAATAGCCTGATGTTCACAATCATTGTCTCCCGTATTTTTATTCTACAATTAGTGCTGTAATGAAATACGGTAGTTAAAAAAGCGTTACGTGTAATTAACAATCTGATGCAGATTTTGTGTAATGTATGGATTTAATTTCAAACCAGGCCCTCCTGGAACCGGTAAAACCTCTCTCTGTAAAGCATTGGCTCAGAAGCTGGCAATTCGACTGTCATACAGGTGATCGTTTTTGGATTTTTTTCACTTGAATTTACTATTGTTAATTGTTCTTTTTCAGTAGCCCAAAGATATTTAATATTTGTTTTCAAGTAACTGGTGCCAAGTGCTGACGTTCATAGTTCTTTTATAGTGCACCTGGCTAGCAATAAATTTTATCTCATAGAGAGACTGATAAGAATATGTTAATGCCTTCTAAAATGTGTAGTTATTTGTGCCCAGATATGTAAAACATTCCAGTGGTGATCTAGTCATTTGTTTGTGCTCAGGATCATAGAGTATCAAGCCTGTTGTTTGTATCTTCATGTTCAAGAAAGCCTGTTTTAATAGGTAGTCATATTGTAACCAATTTGTTTTTTAATTGGATTGTCTGAATGCCACAGTCTGCAGAGGGCAGTTTGTGTATCAGACAAATAATAAGGGTTATTTTTAAACTTCATAGCAACTTAACAAATGTATATAAAAAATAAATGTTATACAAAATACTAGATGTACCATAAATAATCTTTAATTATTGGAGTGATCTGACTCTAGCCCAAGCTGAATTTATGATAAACATGGGCTGTATAAAATGTGGTTGAGATTATTTTGTCCTAAGGATATCCATGCAGAGCTAAGTAAATAAGCTTCATGCTTTTATATGTTTTGCTATCCTGAACAAAATCTTACACGAACAGAATGAGGCCATTAGCATGCTGGTTGTTACTTAAACTATATATAAATAAACATGGGTATTATGTTTTTAGAAGTGAGTAATTTAAAGTACTGCTTCACAGAATTCCAGGGTGAGGTAGAGGGAATGAAATGTACAGAAGATAATGATATCACTGACTTGAGAGTTGATACTTCTTTTTCCATTCATACTTTAGGTATAGATATGGACAGTTAATTGAGATAAACAGCCATAGCCTTTTCTCGAAATGGTTTTCTGAGGTATGTATTGATGTAGCTAATTAAGTAGACTTTGTCTTTTAGAGCTTGTTTCATAAAATAACTGTGCACACCAAAATTACTCAGAATAAATAATACGTTTGAGAACACTTAAACAGAAGCTATATTAGAAAGTTATTCTGAAAAACAGGTATTTCCATCTTTAAATTTGGTAAGACTTGGAAAGTTTTGTGACAAGGAAATAGTTAAATGTATGCATATGGTCTCTTTATAGAGTGGCAAACTTGTAACCAAGATGTTCCAGAAGATTCAAGAGTTAATTGATGACAAAGATGCTCTTGTATTCGTACTGATTGATGAGGTATGGTTCTAATAGTGTTGATGTACATAAAATTTAGCAGAAAGCAAATTGATAGGAAGGAACTGTGATAATGCTTATTCGCAAAGGATAATAAAAGCATGTTTATGCTTTTTTGTAAGTTACACAACTGTGTGCAGAAGAGTGAATTTTAATCTTGACTACTGCAGTCTTGAGAGATTTGGGAGGAACACAGTATGACTTACCGGGCAAATTCCAGCTGAAAATGAAGCAAAACCTTTCTGGGTGGAAATTCCCTTTGCTGCTGTGTGCTTACAGATGGGGTATTGCTTTAAACTTCAAAATAGCCTGGATTTATATTATTTGTACTCTTACTATGTCAGAAAGCTCTAAAAATCATTATTATGCTTCAGTTCATTGTTTAGATTCTCCTCAGGCTTGTATACCTAAGCAACTTAATAAGTATGTACTTTATTAGCTTTGTTATATTGGAGTTCCTATCGGGAAGCTCATTCTAAATTCAATGTATTCATTATTCTGTTGTGTGTATGTCCCCCAATCCCAAAATTTAATTAAAATGAAAAAAAACCTCTGTTCTGCTATCTAAACTAGAATTTCATTCACTAGGCTTTGCCTCCTTGCCACTCCTTTCCCTCTCCCTGTACATTCCTACTTAACGAACGATTTTGACGATGGAGCTTTAGATACCAGACTCAAGGATCTGAAGGTGTATTCTCTGGGTTATTTGATTGCTGCCAGCACTCCAACTGTGGATTTTTTTAGGGGATTTTTTTTGTGTTCACTGATATTTTGTTGTTGTTGTCTTGTTTAGTTGGTTGGTTTGGGATTTTTTTGTAGGTAGAAAGCCTCACGGCAGCCCGCAGCGCCTTCAAGGCGGGCACGGAGCCTTCAGATGCTATTCGTGTGGTGAATGCTGTACTGACACAAATAGATCAGATTAAAAGGTAAACTCATGTTATTGCAACAGCAGAAGGTAATTGACAATTTCAGGATTGCTGCTAAATCTTAATTTAAAATCTTAAACGAAATCGGTTAGTGAACTATTCCGTGTTAATGGTGCTAATTGTGAAAAGAAATAGGAGTAATCCAACAGAATGTTTGGCGTGAAACTGCATGAACAATCAAATGTACAAGTGGTATACTTCCTTTAAAGCTAGGGAGAGATGCAGGACAGTTGGTCATGATATCTGCTTTGGAGAGACAAGAATAAGATCAATGAAGAATCCATTCATTATTTACAGCTTCTGGATGTCAATCTAAAACAGACTTGCACAACATGTGGCTTAGAAGCAATCTTTAACGATGCTTGGTCTGCTTTGTGTGCTGCATTTAGTGCAGGCTACTATCTCTTGTTTAATTCCTGCCACTTCCCTCCCCTTTTTGGGCATACTTGGCTCTGTTCACAGAAAGAAAGATGCCCTAGCATTTAGCCCTCTCTTGCAGCTAATTAATGGTAAGTGGCTTATTCATACATGCAAGTTCACAGGCTTCCTCTAAAAATAGCTCTTGTTGAGAATATTCTTTCCGTATTTCTTAGAGCAAGGAGATGTTACCTCTCTTTTAAGCTCGCTCTAACATCACTTGCAGTTAGAATGCGTCATAGTCCCAGTTAAACTATATACTTTATACTGAATTGAAATGGAAAACGTGTAGATTAAAGGTTCAAATTTATGAGTTTTCTGTTCATAATCTTTTTGTTTGTTTGTGGCTGAAACTATGCCAGTAGGCTCTAGATAGTTATAATTTCTAAAATAGGGTGGGAGAAACTACAGATGCTGGTGAAACAGCTGAAAGAAAGAGACTATGCATTGAAATAGATTGGTGATAACTGGCCAGGAGCTTCAGATCTTTTAACATAATTGCTGGCTGATAAGAGGGATGTGTCTGCTTATTGCATGAAATGGCTTAAGTCATAAGAAGGAAGGCATCGATTTGCCAGTTGCAAAAGGAGATAATTCTTGCATGTGTGACCTAAAAATCTGCTTTTATCTTGAAGGTATCCCAATGTAGTTATCCTGACTACTTCAAATATTACGGAGAAAATTGACATGGCCTTTGTAGACAGGGCTGACATAAAGCAATACATTGGGCCTCCGTCCAGTGCAGCAATATTTAGAATATATCTTTCTTGCTTGGAAGAACTGATGAAGGTAATATTTTGAAAGCAAGACTGTAAAATGTCCCATCTTAATAAATTTAACATTTTAATCATACTTCCTAAATAACAAAAATATATCATTTTTATTTTTTCTGTATTTCCACTCTTTCTTTAGAGCTTAATTTTTAATGTCTTTGAGTTTTTCACATAACAGTGTATAACTCTTCTTTCTAGTGTCAAATAATATATCCTCGACAGCAGCTCCTGACACTCAGAGAGCTAGAGATGATAGGCTTCATAGAAAATAATGTGTCACGGTTAAGCCTTGTACTAAAAGAAATCTCAAGGTAAG